TCCCTGGATCCCAGAATGGAAAGAATGAGATCAGAAAGGGAGAAAAAAAATCAGTAAAAGTTACTTTAATGAGCTGGTTGCTGCTATGGGCAACTGGAGCTCATTCCTACTGGGAGCCCTCTAAGGAATCACGTAGAACAGTGGTTCTTGAAGTGTGGTCCCTGTACCAGCAGCCTCAGCATCGCCTGGGAACTCATTAGAAAGGCAAAATCTTGGATTCCACCCCAGACCTACTGAGTCAGAATCACTGGAGACAGGGTTCAGCAATGTGTGGTTTAATCAGCTCTTCAGGTGATTCTGATGCCCTCTAATGTTTGAGAAGCGTAGGCATAGAGCAGGCCTCATAATTGCCCCCACTGGATCGGAGGAAAGTGAGGCAGAGGCAGAGAATTTATACCCTGACTCCTGTCCCTCAGTGATGGACAATTGTTTTTCACATGTCAGGGTTGCACCAGTAAGGTGGGTAAAGGCTCATGACTTCTGAGAAGGCCTGAGACAGCAAAGAGAGGGACCCATCCCCTTAGCGCAGTGCCTTGGCAAAGTGTGTGGAGGTGGAGCTGTCCGCCCAGAGGTGCTGAAGCCGGGTGGACAGAGAGGCTGTGCCCCTTTCCCACATAACCAGACTACTCACTGTGACTGGGGTGTGGCAGTGGAGATGAAGAGAATTTGAAGCTACATTTTCAAGAAATAATTATCAGTATCTGATAAAAAAGAAATAAAAGAAGAGTATATGAAAGGAAATTCCATTTTTCTTGCTTGAGGACCTTAATGGATGGTGGACAGGAACAGGTACCATTTTGGAAACTTGTGTTAAAGGTATCTGTGATATAAGTTAATGATGGGGGAATATGATGCTCTACACACCAAGAGAAGATGAAGGCAATTGTCATGATGGGAGTGGGTGAAATAGCTCAGGAGGTTTGTTGAGTAAGATGTGGAGAAGATTGAAGACAACACCCTGAGAAGCAGGAGAGGGCCATAGTAGGGGATCCTCTCTTTAATAAGCAAGCAAAATAAGAATTGTCTTGAGGGCAATTCTGGGAGGGGTCAAAGGATGGAACTAGGAGTACTTGAAACCCACTGAATCCTCAGGAAATGCTCACTTTTATTACTAAGTGACTCCTGGGGGGGCTCCTGATTCCTTTAGGACAATTTCTTAGGCTGCCATTTTGTAGAAAAAAGTATGTGGGTCAAATATTAATAGTTTCTTTAAAAAAAAACTCTACTTTTAAAAAAATAAACTGCTTCTTACCTTAAAAAATTGGTAACTCTGTTGTCCCTAGGGATAATGGTCATTCCCAGTGCTTAGAGCATACGAGGATGATGTCATTAATTACATGTTAAACACTGGGTCCTCATTCAGACACTCCCCTGCCCTGGAATTTTAATCTTAGCTGGTGATGCAGCTGTCGCAAAGTGATGGCAACCCCCAAGGGAACTGTATGCCTGTTGTCTTCCCATTAGGCTCTGGGCAGGCAAAGAAATTTGTTTAGAAACTTATTACAACTTTTCCCAGAAATCCATCACCTCTAATTTTGCCAGGCAGAACTCAACCCAAGCATACTTTTAAGGTGTCGGATCTGAGGAGTGTGGCCTCAGGTCTTCTTGGTGTAAGTACATGGATGTTCCCAGTCTTAGAATTCTTATTGTAACTCACAAGTTCATTTTCATGAAAGGGACCTACATATTCACTGGTACATGATAAGAAATCACTTAGGGATTGAATATTTAAATTCATGACAGTCTTCTGTCAAAATTTGAAGGAAATGTATATGATTTGGCTTATTCATGCACTTAGTAAAATATAGCATTTTCCTCAAGGTGGTCTCAAGTTGCATGGTCTATCAGCCAAACATCAAATATCTGAACTACTAATTATTCTCTTTGCTGTAAAAATTAAGAAGTTCACTGACTGCAGAAGCTTCTTTCTTAGGTCTTCATGTGACTGTAAATCACTGGGGTATCTGAAGAGAGAATTCCAGTCTATGAGGAAAGAGGTGCACATGGGAAATCCCCTGGCTACTCCAGGGTCAGAAACAGTTTTCAATGATATAGGGTAATTATTCTAGTAATTTAGGGAACATTTTCATCTGTAACTGCCTTATGCTTACAATATTTCAATAGTTGTTTCTCATATAAACTTCTTTGATGAGATTTTAAGGAACATTTTGTTGGATTAGAATCAAACTGAAGGGAGGGGTAATGGATCAATTATAATTAGACATGCTTCCAGAGGGAATGCAAGAGATTTTCTACCCTGTCCATTGATGAGCAATTTCTTGCTCTTGGCAGAACTTGAGCCAAATGGAGCACAGAATGTGGATGGCTGCAGATTTCCCTTCCACCTGGGGAGAATAATTTTGGCACAATGTCTTCAACTTTGTCACCTACTCTTGAGGTTGATTGGTTACTTTTACTAGAAAACTTAGCTCTATATAATCTCTACCATATTTCTTAGAGATAATTTACTCACCTAGAGACAGTCATTCCTTATTTTCTTATTTTAAATATATTTTCATTTTCTTAATTACATTTTGTCTCCGAATACCATGAAGTATTCTACATGAAGTAACATTGCTTATTAGTTAAGCAATATCTCAGAGACCCATTGGCTGTGTTAATTATTTATTTCATTTGCAAGTTGGGAACTTTGCTCGTTAAGAATATGTCGGGCCATGTGCAGTGGCTCACGCCTGTAATCCCAGCACTTTGAGAGGCCGAGGCGGGTGGATCAGGAGGTCAGGAGTTCAAGACCAGCCTGGCCAAGATGATAAAACTTCGTCTCTACTAAAAATACAAAAAAATTAGCTGGGTGTGGTGGCAGGCGCCTGTAATCCCAGCTACTCAGGAGGCTGAGGCAGAGAATTGCTTGAACCTGGGAGGCAGAAGTTGCAGTGAGTGGAGATCACACCAATGCACTCCAGCCTAGACAACAGAGTGATACTCCATCTCAAAAAAAAAAAAAAAGTCAAAGCCAAACATACCTGCATTTACTAAATTAACCAGCACTCTTATAGCAGTATCTCCACAGTTCTGAGAACTTTTCTAATCTTAATTTGTTCGATCTTTTTAACAGTCCTTAAAAATGAGTTCCATAATTATCTCCAATTTTCAGATAAGAAAATTGTGACCAAGAGCCATTTTATAGTTTGCACAAAATTGCCCAATAGGAAATAGCAGAGCTGGACACCAAGCCAGTATGTTTAACAGTTGGCTTTATGCTGGTAGTCTGGTGCTTCTTCATGTGTAAATCTTTCTACAGTAAGTAAGGCTAGAAAATTAAAAGCAATGATTTTCCAGAAACACTGTAGTTAATTCCATCTCTGGCTGCTTCTTGTGTCTTGACATTTTCCCTTCCTCCTTGGTTATTTTAAGGCCAAAGTGATCTTCAGCTTGGCTCAGATCATTGTAACATGCTTCTAAGCCCCTTGCTAACTTAGGCCCTAACCATCTTCTCAGTCTATCATATGTGGTAGCTGGAGTTCCTGTCTACTTATAACATGTAGGCTCACATTTATGTCTCAAAATTAAGAATTCTGGATTTTGCAAGGCTGAAGAGATTAGCCTTACCAGGAATTTCCAAGTATTTACTCTATGGTGTAGATAATTCATCTCCTCTCACATAGTTTGTGACTGCCTCATTGAAAGTCTACCCTGTAGTGAATCCCTGATCTGCTGGGAAAGATTAGGGGATTAGAATACCTTCAGATGCTACCTTTCCTAGGAGAATGTGTGTGTTCTTCTCTCTAAGAGATATGATACATATTAAAATCCTAATGGCTTGTCTCAAATAATACGCTTTCTTTTGGGAGATATGTTTTAAGTGAAGTCGTGTTTATGTTTTAGGTAGGGATGGGTGTTTACAGCACCTCACAACATTCACCAGATAAGCAGTCACTTATTATCTTGTTTTTTATAGGCACACTAGAAAAGCTTTATGGTACCTCACTGCAACTGCTCTTCAGAGTCCGCCTTTGGCCCGCCCTGGTGCTGACATCAGGCATAACGCACTATGTCCTCACCAGAATTTTGGGAAAAGTTCAGCCCCACATTGTATTTTTTTTTTTTTTTTTTTTTTTTTTTTGAGACGGAGTCTTGCTCTGTCCCCCAGACTGGAGTGCTCGCCGCTCACTGCAAGCTCCGCCTCCTGGGTTCACGCCCACATTGTATTCTTGATTGCCTTTAGGAGGTGCCTATTATTTCTCACTTTATCTCCTGTTAGAGGAAAAATCAACATCAAATGCTTTGACCAGTTCACATCCAAGATGAATACTTATATTTGATAATTACTATTGGAGGCACAAATATATATTTGATCTGCTTTTTTTTTTTTTTTTTTTTTTTTGAGATGGAGTTTCACTCTTGTTGCCCAGGCTGGAGTGCAGTGGTGCAATCTCAGCTCACTGCAACCTCCGCTTCCCGGGTCCAACCGATTCTCCAGCCTCAGCCTCCTGAGTAGCTGGGATTACAGGCATGTGCCACCACACCCAGCTAATTTTGTGTTTTTAGTAGAGATGGGGTTTCTCTGTGTTGGTCAGACTGGTCTCAAACTCCGGACCTCAGGTGATCTGCCCGCCTCAGCCTCCCAAAGGGTTGGGATTACAGGCGTGAGCCACCGCGCCCAGCCTGATCTGTTCTTTAAATGGTGATTCTGATTCAATTTGCCATTGAGGGAATTTCTGAATATTTTTGATAACACAAGCAAAAGCAAAATGTTCCATTCCCTTGATTTAGTCAAACTTCCTCCCTTGAGGCCAGTTTTCCCGAGTGCAAAGGGCTTTTACCTGTGACCAAAGCTCATTGATATGAATCAGAAAATTTTTCAGCACTGAGATTACTCTCTTAATTTGTCCCAAACTGCCAATAGTATTTTTATTGTCCCATGTATATGGAACAGTCTTGTTTTTAATGTTCGTTAAAATGATTCAGTTTCTTAAAATCACACCTTTACTCAGTTTCTGGTCTAGTGTTAATCACTGGTGACATTTCTGTCTTTTCAGTTCCTCCCAAGTTTGTAGTTCAGCCGCGGGACCAGGATGGGATTTATGGCAAAGCTGTCATCCTCAATTGTTCTGCTGAGGGTTACCCTGTACCTACCATCGTGTGGAAATTCTCTAAAGGTATGGAGTTACTTGATCTGCTTGTTACCTGTCAAACATTTGCTATGTTCTAAAGGATTAGATAGATGAACATTTCTAGATTTCCAGAGAAGTTTCTTGCGAATAGATATGTATCTCTGTTTCCACCAAGCCTATCATTCTCTCATAGACATTCCTAGTCATCCACCTAGGTGTTTTTATTCAGACCCACAGTGTGTCTGTTCTATATAACATGCCCTTGGAAAGGCCACAAAGGGATGGAAGGTTTTCCCATAGATTGTTTCAGCACTTAGGAAGTCCTACCTTGCCCACCTATATTACATAACCATGGTCTGCTTAGAGATCACTGCATGCTTGTCCATGAAGACATGTGAGTTTAAATTGTCAGAACTACTCATAGCTGGAAAATTATTTCCCCAGTATTTAGATAGATGAGTGGGTTTAGAAAATGACAGATAATATCATTGATTGTTTTATTCACCTGATTACCTTAGAATATACACATTACACCTCATCTCCTTGGCATGCTCTTTTTAAAAACAAACACACCCAATGTCCCATCGTGATTGTCTCATGTTCCCCGCTCGCACCCCTAATCATGTTCCCTCTTCTAATGCAGAGCAGTAGCTCGTGGGTTTTAGGTGACATTGTAGACATTACACAAGTAGAAATGTATGATATGGAAACAAAGGGTGGAATCATGTTAGACTTTGGAAAAACAATTTCTGTTCATTAGGGTAGCTTCTTCAGAATGCTTCCTTAACTGTACTTGCAAACCTATTGGAAGTTCTCTTTCTTTTGTCATTTAGACACTTGAATTCAGCACTATGTTAATACAAAATAGTTGAGGGCCAAATATGTACTGGTGAGATCAAATAATCAGTCAGTCAGTCATGACCTTTTTTCCCCAATAACCTAAGACCTAGTATCTAGGTTTAATTTTTGTGAGGTATTTGTTTTTGTGTAGACTTAATCATCGTTTATACTCCAGATGTTTCTTTTTAAAATAGAATGTTGCATTTTCTCATTACGGAAACAACTATGACCAAAGGAAAAACAAATGGTACATTGGTTGCAACCCTCCTGCCAACTCTCTTTTGAGAAGGAAGGTAAAGAAGTGGGGAAGAGGGTGCTAGACACTGTCTG